CCCCCCTCCCTCTGTGATTGGCTACTGGACTTTTTGACTGGCAGGCCCCAGACTGTCAGGATTGGCCTCAGGACCTCAGCCAGCATCATCATGAACATTGGCACCCCACAGGGATGCGTTCTCAGTCCCATCCTCTGCACCTTGTTCACCCACAACTGCATCACCTCCCACAAGGACAACATCATCCTAAAGTTCGTGGATGACACCGCAGTGATATGTTGCATCACTGGCGGGGACGAATCAGCCTACAGGAGGGAGGTAACCGATCTGGTCATGTGGTGCGAGGACAATAATCTCACCCTCAACACGGACAAGACAAAGGAGATGATAGTGGACTGTTCATCTGGGGGCTCGAAGTGGAGAGGGTGAGCAGCTTCAAATACCTGGGCGTCCACATCAGTGAGGACCTCACTTGGAGACTTAACACAGTTCCACACAGCTGGTCAAGAAGGCCCAACAGCGGCTGTACCTCCTGAGGAGGCTGAGGAGGTTTGGCATGTCGCCTACGATCCTCAGCAACTTCTACAGGTGCATCCACTACTGCCACGGACCGCAAGCACCTGCAGACAGTGGTAAAGACTGTGGAGAAGATCACCAGGACTCCACTGCCCTCTCTGCAGAGCATTTACCACCGCAGGGTGCATAGGAAAGCTGCCTCAATCCTCAAAGATTCCACCCATCCCCAGCACAAACTGTTTAGTCCCTACCCTCTGGCTGGAGGTTCAGATGTGTGAAATGCAGGACCTCTAGACTGAAAATACCCCTACCCTCCTGTCGGAGGCTTAGAAGTGTGAAATGCAGGACATCTAGACTGAAAAACTCTTTCTTACCCTCTGTCATCAGACTCCTAAACAGCTGACTCAGGATCTATCATGTAATTCCATCTGTACTGTTTATATACTCATTTTGCACATGCATAATTGCACACTCACTGCTGAGTATTTCCACTCCACGGCTCCCACGTAGCATATATTCTCCCTGCATTATATTGTGTTCTTGTTGTATTTTTATTTGCTCCCTCACTTGCTGCTTTAAAGTGCCTCAGATTTGTGATTTTACTGCCTATTTAGATTTGTGTTATTGCTCATCTACATTATATTTCACTTGTATTATGTGGCATTCATGTGGACGGCAAAGTAAGAATTTCATTGTTTCCCAACTGTGCAAATAAACACTTTGACCTTGAACTTGTGGTCATTCAGAATGGATAACTTTAGTTGACTGCAGCTAACTCGTGGTGGACCTAAAGATCCTTTTTTATGAGAGCAACAGACTGAAAAATGACTCTGCACATTGATCTCAGCTCTTGGTTGGCGAGCTAATGCTAGCTAGCAGCTGTCGGCAGATAACACAAACACTGCAGATGAATCAACTTCTGTCCTGTCTGTGCTCAAGCTGAACACTACAGTGGACATTTGAATGTAGTTGAACCATCCACTACTGTATGTAGCTGTATGGGATAGTTTTTTTTTTTATTAACTTAAAGATGCATGTAGTGTGTATATCTGACTGATAATGGATGTGGTGCTCCAAACATGGCCTGACGTCAGCTTCACATTCACTATTGCTTCACCAAATACATGCGATTTTGAGCCTTGTCGTATTAACTGTGAGCGAGAGAGAACTGTAAACTGTATATTCTTCCTGTTCCAAGCAACAGTTGTCACCTCTACAATAAATAGCTGAATGTGTTGCTTCTGGCAGAGCTTCAGAGCTGTGAGGAGACTAGTGTGTATGTTGTGAGTGCTGGAAACATACAGACAGGAAGTGGCTGGAGTTGTGTTGGAGAGGTTTTCTTACTTTTTTTTTTGCAAGCCTGTGTCCTTCATGAACACACAGACACAGCTGCGATAGTTAAGAATTTTAAATGTAGATTAACACTTCTCCCTGTAGAAAGTCGGCCTGTTTTGCACTGTGTGTGGTGCGTGTGTGAGTAAATGGATGTCCACTTCTGTGAGTGTGTATCTGTGTGTGCCTGCTTGTGTCTGGGCCCAGGTTGTGTGTGTATGTTCATCCATCCAGAAAATAAAGCCTTATTGAGGATGAAATGGGATTTTTAATTGGCTGAGCCTCGGCCTAACGACGCCACGTGAAATTCACGGCCCCTCGTACAATGTCACCGACACACAGCCTCGTAGTGGACCCGCTGTAGCACACACAATGTTGTACACAGCTTTTCACATGTCCCCCTGTATTCAAAAGAACACACAGAGTAACACACACATACACGCTGCATCTCTGTGTCGGAGTATTGATTAGACCATTTAGTCCAAACAGAGGAGAACACCGGGCCCCATCATGGAGACCTCCCTAACAGGCTCATTTACACACATACTCTCTCTCTCTTTCTGTGACATGTCCATAGTCTGCTGGTGCACACTTTGCTCTCCTGACACTAACCTCCCTCCACTTTGAAAATGGACACACACCCCCAGACACACACATGTGCCGAGTGTGACAGGCCTGTTAAAAGGTTGTGTCCATGTCTGACAGCGACTTTAAGAGCCCTGCATCGATTTTTCCCTCGGCCAAGTGACTGAGAGAGTGAGCAAATGAGAGAGAGATAAGAGATGTCAGTAGGTAGAGCAAGGCAGTAGCCCTGCCAAGGTTAAGAGCTCCATTCCCACCAAAGGCCTACAAATATGTTCTCCTCCTGGGGCTGTGTGGCCGTTTGGATAACAATGTGTGTGTGTATTTATATGGAGGAGGACGGAGGCGTGTGTGTGTGTAACTGATAGTCACAGCTGGTGAGTGTGACAGCTGGATATACAGCAGACTGCCTCATCCGACCTGCCGCCCTGAAAAGAATTCGTTTCAGCAGCCAAGCGGAAGATTTCAGTTGAACAGAAATCAGCTCTGAAAGCTCAGAGGTTTTACATGTATGTCCAATATCCAGATCAGACCGTGTGAACGCTGTACGGTTGGATGTTTAAGTAGCAGATATCTGTAGAGTGTAAGCTGTGTTACATCCTGCAGAAGTCTTTGAAGGCACTAGTAAATATTAAACTAATATTTGAAATTAATACATTGCTGAAGACGAAGCAAAGTGATGCACATGTTCAAAACCTCTCAAGGGAAACTCAGAACTGAGCGGTGCATGTCCTGTAGTGGCAGACACTGCCTCACTCTACTGATAACAGATACTGCTAGTAAGGAGACGCATTTTTACTGCATGTTTTTCTGTATACCACACAACAATTTATGTATTCATGAGTCTCTGGTCGGGTCAGCCTGTGAGATGAAGAATGTTATTACACTGTGATCTAACATTGCCATGTCCAAACCATATGTGTTGACTGTCTGCTATGAATATGTTTCCACTTCACAATATTTGCTTTAGCATTTTATGTTTTATTCGACTGTTTCATGTGGCATATGTTGTGTGTCTTAGTGTTGTTTCACTGGCTGTTTTAACACCTGGGACAACAATTGATTGTTAGTGCTTTGGCTAACGCTGACATGTTTACAGTGTAATCGATCAGTGTGCGTTGTCCCTGAAATAAAGCAGAAGTCATTTCTTTGCCAATAACAGTTGTTCACAAGGCCACAAGGACTGAAACTCACTGTAACACTAGTTCAAGCAGATGTGTTGAATGCAACATACTTGTATGTCTGTCTGTGCCTCAGGTCTGATCAGGTCCAGGGTGCGGGGGGCCGATGCTGCACGAGCCGGGGTCCTCACCTTCCTGGACAGCCACTGTGAGGTCAACAAGGACTGGCTGCCCCCACTGCTGCAGAGGATCAAAGAGGTAGACCACCAGAACTGTGTGTGGGTGTGTAAGCATGACCTGTCCATTCTCATTCCCAGGGCGTCACATACTGACATTTTGTCAAGTACTTTTGCATGTCACTCTCTAAAGGGCACCTCTCACGTCAGTAGTTTTAACCCACATGCGTCGTATTTGACGCCCAGAGCAACAGGTCCACTGGCGCAGGATATGAAGGAAGAAAGCCCACATTTGGAGGAGGTTGGGATGGATGTGTGGGTCAGACAGACGTTGGACCTTCCCACAGGAGAATAATGTTAGAGGCCAGTGTGTAACATTGCGCTTTTTAGTCAATGAGTATCTGAACCCAAACCACGATCATTTCCTAAATCAACCAGAATGTGTTGAAAGGAAGTGCCTTTGGTGTCTGTGTGTGCAAACATCCTTCTTTGGTGGTGGACAAATCTCAGTTAAATCCACCACCAAAGAAGGACATTTCAGCACAGTGAGCATGTTACAGGTTCAGGTCAGGGGAAGTGTTCGGGTTAGACATTGAGCTGTGATGGTTAAGGTTAGGGGTTAGGGAATGCCTTAAGTCACTGAGTGTCCTCACACTGATAGAAAAAGAAACCTGTGCGTGTGTGTGTGTGTGATGAATCCAGCGGCGGTGAAATAGCACCATGGGAGAAAATATCTGCCGGTCTGATTACCTCTCATTAAGAAATCAGGACTTCGCTCTCTCCTTCACCCTGCTCCTCCCTCCTACTCTCCCCTGTCATCCTCATCTCCTCGTGTCCCCTTCTGTCTGTTTTGTCTCCCCTCACCTTCTCTCGTCCTGACACGTTTTATCACCTGTCACTTCATCTGCTTGTTTTCTACCTCCTTTTCTCTGTCCCTTTCTCCTCCTCTCTCCTCTTGACTTTCCTTTGTCTTCACACCTCTTGTCCTTTCTCATCATGTCTCTTATCCCATCCGATTCTCCCTCCTGTCTGATTTCTTGTTGCCTTCTCACCTCCTCTTTCCTCATCATTTCTCTCCTCTAGCCTTTAGTTTTCCAGCCACTTCACTACTTCTCTCTCTCTTCTCTTACACACTTTCATTTCTTTGATGCTGTGCTATGTCCTTCACTTTTCCTCTTACCTACCTTACCTATTTGATCCCTCTGCTCACTACTCACCTCCCCACATTTCCTGTCATTGTTCTTCTCCTCTCCACTTGCCTTCTTTACTTTCCTCTCATTTTCTTTCACCCACTCTTTCTCTGCTTTCTACATCTCCTCTGGCCTCCCTTTCTTCTCCTCGTCAACTTGTTTGACCTCTTCTCCTGTCTTCTTCACTCACATCCTCTGACTGTTATTGCCTTTTACACCTCGTTTCCTTGTTTCTTGTCCTAAAACCGTCTGTCTGTTCTTATTCTCCCTCTTCTTTGCATCTCCTTTCACCTTGTGCTCTTCTCCTTTCAATCTGGTGTCCTCTTTTTTCCTCTTCTTGCCACTTATTATGTTTTTGATCTCCTTCTTTTACCCATATCTCCTCCTCTTTGGTCCTCTTTCTTCTCACCACCTCCTCCTTTACCACGCCTCTTCTTTGCATCTCCTTTCACCTTGCACTCTTCTCCTTTCAATCTGATGTCCTCTTTTTTCATCTTCTTGCCACGTATTATGTTTTTGGTCTCCTTCTTGTACCCATATCTCCTCCTCTTTGGCCCTCTTTCTTCTCACCACCTCCTTCTTTACCACTCTCCTCTTTTCTTCCCTTCTATCATTGTCATCTTTGTCTCCTCCCATCATCATCCTTCTCCACTCACACCTCCTCTTTTCTCTATCCTTCCTTTTCCTCTTATTTAACATCCGATTCCCTTTCTCCTTTTCTTCTCTTTCATCACTGTATCCATCTCGCTTCCTGTCCTCACACCTGTTGTCCTCTTTTCTCCTCTATCTCCTCATTTCCTGCTTTTTTTCCCTCCCTCTCTAATTAATCAAGTCAGCACTTGTTTTTGCTGATATTAAAGACAGCTGTAGAGCAGTGATCAATAATAAAACCACCACCGAGTCTGATCTGTTTCTGCTGCTACGCCAGCATCATCCATATTCATACTCATGGTTTGTGTGTGTGTCCTGCAGACAAGCCATCTGTCACTGTCTGTCCAGTCACTTTAGAGTCATATATTTAGATTTAAATGTATGAGATATTGATCCAGGTAAACACACACAGACAGAACTCCACTGTCACTCTGTTATCCTCAACATAATTGTTTCATTGACATAAAGTCCTGTCCAACTTCCAGGCTAACCTCTGTTCCACTTGCTATCATTGCTCAATGTACTACTTCTTAGCATCCACCCCCCATTAAAATTCTCTTTCTGTCTATGCTCTAAGCCTGTTTTTGTACAGTTTCATGAGGTTTTAACAGCCCTCCTGTGGCTGTGACTTATGGGATATGTTTCTGTTATGTCAACAAACTATCCATTGTTTTATTCTTAACCACAAATAACTATTTTAAGTATTTTGCTGTCAGAGTGATTCAAAGAATATTCTGTGTCATTCTCATCTAAATAAATGCCCCTAACTCCATCCATCGCTGACATGTTGACGTTTTGCGTGTCTTGTTCTGAGCACTGTGACTGCGCCTGGATTCCTCTACCCATTCATTATTTACTATAAAGTATGTTACTTGTCAAAACAAATCCTGCACTTTCCTGGACATGTCGTGCTCAAAAGAGGACAGACTCAGACATTTGAAGTACATCTCTAATCCTTCACTGTTCACTGCTCAAATCATCCCACTCTACACCATGAAAAGTAGAGAATATGCAGTGTCACTAAACAAACCCCATTCACACCACTGTCGCTGGAAAGTCATATTGTTAGGGATACGTGGGCACCACAGGTGAACACAGACGAAAACAATGCCACCTGAGGAAACTCTAAGTTCATTCACAGAATAAAGGAAAAGAAAATGAACTCGTTGCAGCAGCAGAAGAGGGAGCACAGCAGGTGTGCACACAGAAGTACAGCAAACACCGACACTGCTTTTCTGAGATAAAAAATAGATCCAAAATAAAAAGGTATGAAATAGAAAACATTTATTTTTAAAAGTGAGTTTAGCTTTAAGATTTTAGCTGCAGTCATCAGAGCAAAACACCAAAGCAAATAGGAACCAACAACAGATCTTACTCTTCTGCAGCTGGTTTGTGATCTTAAAACAAGTGCAGGTTCACCAGAGCCGGACTGATTTCTGTCTTCTTGTGTAGCATCTTGGCCTTGGAAGGTGCTGGAAGGGTCTGTGCTGCTGAATTGTTAGTGGAATCTGTTGTGATTGTTACTGAACATTTAGAAGTAATTGTTAGTGGAATCTGTTGTGATTGTACGTCTAAATGTTCAGTAACAAAGTGTGTGTACCATACTAATGTAGGATAGGTGCATGAAAGATGATGATGATGATGATGATGCACTGTTCCTGGGGTCAGTTTTTCTCTCAGCTCAGTCATCAAATGTTCTCGTTTCAAATTAGCTGTAAAAAAAATAAGAAATGGCTGAAATTAAGAAACTGCTCCCGAGCGATGTGAAAATAACACTCATCCAATTACTACAGTAATGTCGCGAATGCCTCACCCTGAGCGCTGCAGTGTCATTACCCTAACAGCTATTAAGGCAGACGCAGTGCTTTGTAATGTGGCTGGAGCTGTAGAGGGATGCAGCCCGCCTCCCCTTGCACTGACCCTGCAGCTAATGGTCCAGAACCGCCCCACCTGCTCTGTAATACCACTGGCTGGAGACGCATCCAGCCGTTTGACCAAGCTAATAGAGGGACGCTCCATGATTTACCATGGAGCTCAGGTCTGGTGCTCGTGTGTGTGTGTGTGTTTGTACTTTTATCCTTGTAAAAAGCAAATGGTGCCATCAAGGTAGAAATATGAGGGAAATGAAGTGCAAACATTTCAACGGTTCAGATTTTTACAAGGGCTGTATAGGCAATAGCTACGCTAAATCTGTGAAAGTCTTATGGATGATTAAACAGCGCTGAGGGTATAGGCATTTTTGCTGAGTTGAAACTTTCCCATCTTGTACATTGTGTGTGATGTGTAAGTTGCTTTTAATCTGAGAATTTGAGTTTTGACAAACAATACTATTTTCACATTGGTCAGTCACAAATATTAAGCATTACTTTTATAATTTCCTTAAATCCACGCATACCTCGTGGAGTCTGGGCATGTTCAGCCACCTGTCATTTAGCACAGAAACCGGACGCTGTGGGAAACAGCCCGACTCTTTCCAAGTGTTTTAAAAACTACACTGACTCTGCATTCACTGTGTTTCTCATTTTTTCTGCTCCTTCTTGATGAACTCACCTTTCATTTGAAGGAGTTGCAGTATTTCTTGTTTTCAGATGGCTCAACAGTCTGACATTAACTCCAGTAAAGAGAATAAAATAAAAGTGAATGGACTTGAGCAGAGGTAGAGGTCACTCTCACCTCGCTCAGTGTGCTGTGTGTGGCTGTTGCTGAATGACTGAAAGCCTTTTTAGTGCGGTACAGTATAATGACATTGGAGTATACAGTCTGTTTCACACATTCATGCACACACATTAGAATGAAAACCTCATTTATTGGAGCAGTATTTGATGATCTCCACACAGGAACATATTCACCTCTCTATTTTCTCTTTGTTATTTATCTATTTTTTGTTTTGGGGGCCATGGTGGTGCGGTGGTTAGTCCGGTGTGCTGTCACCTCACAGCAAGAAGGTTTAAGCCCGAACACCTCACAGCAAGAAGGTTTGAGCCCGAATCGACCTGGGGCCTTTCTGTGTGGAGTCTGCATGTTCTCCCTGTGCCTGTGTGGGTTCTCTCCGGGTACTCCGGCTTCCTGCCATGGTCCAAAGACATGCAGCTTAGGTTGACTGGTGGCTCTAAACTGCCCATAGGAGTGAGTGTGGTTGTTTGTCTACATGTCAGCCTTGTGACAGACTAACTACCTGTCCAGGGTGGACCCCGCCTCTCACCTAATGTCAGCTGGGATGAGCGGTATAGATAATGGATGGATGGCTGATTTCTTTTTTCTTTGCCTGTTTTTCTTCAGCACATTTTATGTTGTTTTTGTTTCCTTTATATCCCTAACACAGCATGAATGTCTGTGGTGTTTTGTGTTTGTGTCCAGGACCCAACCCGTGTGGTCAGCCCAGTCATCGACATCATAAACATGGACACTTTTGCCTACGTGGCAGCTTCTGCGGATCTCCGTGGAGGTATGGAAACACTTTTTTTCTGGGAAATAAAAATGATTCTGGATGTCTTTTGATGACAGAGAGAAGCTCCTTAGGGTTCTCAGTCATGATGAGTTCATGAACAACTTCTTTCTGCTGTTAACACTTTGTTCCCTATCTTTGATACAGAAATATTCATAAAACTGTCCTCTGTTATTTTGAAAGAGCAGCTTTTATCACCCTCAAATCCAACACAGTGATCCACCCAGATCACAGCTGATGTTCCAAAACAAAAATTGTAATTAGTAATGGCATTCAAAGTCATCTCTGCTGGACAGGGAGGAAAGTGTGGGGTTGTTCACTTTCCTCACACTGTAGTTTTCTTGTGATGATCTCCTGTTCCTTGATACAGAAACACAACTCCCTTCTGATCACAGTTGACAGAGCAATCAGCACAACTGGTCAGTTGGTGGTGTTTGGTGATTGCCTGTTTCTTACCAAAATAGCCCCGAGTTTTTATGTGCACGGTACCTGAATCAGGCATTTTTAACAATGTTGCTCATCTTTTGTACTGACACAGTTTCATGTCCAGCAAAACCTCGAGGTGCACCAAATGTTAGTCACTTGCCACTATACATGTAGCAAACGAATGGGATTTTTACTGAGAGAACACCAGAAATACCTCATCCTGCATCTCTATAGAGAGATATAATAAAATCAGTCAATGTGCACATAAATGTTATCTCATCCAGTCACTGCTTTTATATTAAAGATTGTCCTCTTTTAACAGCAGCTGCTTCCAATTGAGATTTCTAGGTCAGGAATTATTTTTGTGCATTTTTGAAATGCATTCTTGAAAACTTGAAACCAGGAAGTCGCTAACAGCGGTGAAAGTGGAGGACGCAGGTTTTGTGAATGAGTCAATAAGTATCTTCTAATTCACTGAGCATCACAGATCGATGATGTGCAGCGGAGAGTCTGAGGAGGGCTTTTCCTTTTAGCTTGACAAGATTCTGCAGTTACAGATGACTGAGACCAAACTTCCCAATAATAAATAAGAACAATACACAAGTGTGTTCGCCACTCGTCTCCCATCATCCCTCTGTCATCCCTCACTTCTTCTGCACCCAATCTCTCCTTATTGTCCCTCTCTCATCCCATTAGCTTGTCTTATTCCAGTCTTTTGCTCTTGGTAACAGCGGTCTGCCAGTCAATGGTGATAATAGCCCTGTCCACACACACACACACGCACACACACCAGCAGGGGAATCGATGGCGATTGTTGGTCTCACAAAGGACATGTTAATAATAGATAAAGCTGTCGCTCGGAGCATAAAAAAGATGGTTGTAAGGGCTTTAATTGAGCCAGACACACAGACAGCCTCACACATGTCAAGTGTACTGACACACACACAGATGGGGTTGGGAGTGCAAACACACACACACACACACACACACACACACACACACACACCCATACACCAGCCAACACACATATGCACACATTTCCTGTACATCAGCACATACAGACAATTTATCAACAAACAAAGAAAATAAAAAGGCAGATGTCAAATGTTAGGAATGTTAAAGCAAATATACAATTTGTAGTTTGTCAGTGATTGATCCAAATAAATAAATCCTTCTGTCATCCATTGACTTTGTGTCTATAGCTACACATTTTGAGCAATTTTCTTAATATCAGCAAACAAGGCAGGTTTTCTTAGTGAAGCCAATGTTTCTCTACATAGAGAATAATTTGTGTTTATAATGTTTGTTCTTTCTCTCAGGTTTTGATTGGAGTCTCCATTTTAAATGGGAGCAGCTGTCACCAGAGCAGAGGGCTCAGCGGATCGACCCGACTGAGCCAATCAAGTAACCACGCATACACATTATGCACAGACATGTACACTGTAGTACAGATGATAGAGATATTCACACAGAGGTATATAACCAGAGCTCAATGAGTGTAGACAAGAGTAAAACAGAGAAGAGGAGGAACGTACAAAGGCCTGAGGAGACATGTAGAGGAAAGGAGGAAGGACTAAAAGAAGACCTTTGTTTTTATCTAGGTGTTCCGTGTGTGACAGAAATTCTGGCACAACAAAATCAGCTGCTACTGAATTAATTTAAAACCAGAAAAACTGAGCCAATCTCTAACATACAAGTGTTTTCATCTCAGTTATTCCCAGAATACAGAGCAAGTTTTCACTGTGTTTAGAAAGTTAATAAAAAACATGAGGATAGAATAAATAACTTGTCATAAAAAGTCTGACGTGGGCGTCTGACCCCAGTCTTCGCTTCCCATTTTCAAGCTTGAGTTTAGAGTTTATATTGTTAAATGTGGCCTGAGAGTTTCTGTGTTCGTGTGTGTGTAATTGAACCAACAGCATTGGCAAGCAGTATCAGCAGCATCCACATGGAAGAAAAGAACATTCAGGCTACAGTATATTAACTTACAATGTCAAAAAAAAATCTCCAAAAATATGTTTTTGCTTACATGATTTTTATTTCCCATCGTTTTCTGGTTATACTTTAATACTTGGGACATTCAGAACACTTTCTGTTTGCAGCTCTGTTTATTATGAGTTATTTATCTAAACTGCCATCTTCAGATTTTATTATTAGCAAAGATACACGCTGTTTCAAAAGGTTCACTGTCTCTGAATGTGTTTTCACCCTGCATAAGAGTCTACGTCCATTGTCATGTTTCTCCCTTTTGGCTTCTTGTGTCGGCCAAAAAATGTACTTTTTGTTTTGCGTGCATGAGCTGTTATCTCTAAGGGCTTTAGCTTCTTATCTTTCTTTGAGTCACCCAGGTTGAATTCATATTTAGAGTTCAGCAGTTATGTGCGTTTTTCTGTTAAAATCAGCATATGAACATATATCAACAGACTGTTTGCACTAGGATTTGAAAACGTATTGAACTGATAAGGAAGTCCGGTCATTACCAGTGTACCAGTCTTTTGACAAAAAGTTGCTCACACTTTGTCATAGTGCTCCCAGTGAATGGTTTTAGTGTAGCTGTGATATTTCATACATAAATTCTGAGATTGTGAGGTCCCAGTTTGAACCCCGCCATCAGTTGTCATAATAAAACATACATTTCCACAGCATCCAAAATATCTGCAACATAACAGATTACATCAGTTACTTGTCATTTCATGCAATGTACTGTACTGTACAGAAGGCAGAAAGGACCCACAATCATACAGTATTAGAAATTTTGAAAAATATAAATAAAGCTCCAAAGATGATGAATACATTGACAAATTCACCTTTTCTGTAGCTGTAATGATGAACGAGGTGCCCATTTCAGCTGAAACGCTAAAAGACAAATTGAACAGATCCTGTGTGCAACAATCGGTAACAAAAGTTTGACCTTGTTCTGACATGTTGCAGCTGCAGCGCCCCCTGCTGGGCTGTGCTGATAAACCGTGTAAAGTTTACACAAGATCAGGTCTTCGATGCCTGACAAATCATTTGCCATGGAGAGATTAAAACAAACAAAGGGAAGGCACTGGAGCCGCGGGGCAAACACACAGCTCCACGCACAACCACACACAGAGTTATAAATAATAAACGCTGGCACCGGTTCTTCTTCATAAGTCAGATTGGTGGCAGGAGCCCAGCTTTACTGCTGTGCCAACTTGTGACTGCCTGACTTCGTGCATGTTTTGTTTTGTTTTGTGGAGGCAGAGTGTTAAACATTCACAGATGGACGTGTGGTGATGTGCAAATGTGCGTGTGCCTGTGGAGATACATGTGGATGATGGAGTAGAGCTTGTTCATTATGACGGTCTGTCTCCACCTGGTTGTCAGTGAGCTGCTTCTGTCTGTGTGATTTCAACCTGCGGAGGCTGGACTGAGTCACCATGTCGTCTGTGAGCACACACATCAACACACCCGTTTGGAAACTAGACTTGTGAGAACCATCATTGACATAGTGCATTCCCTCCCTTTAACATTATCAATCACACTTACTTGATTAAATATATGTAGTAGTGGGTAGATTATTACTGTACAACCAACAGCATGATTGAAAAATTGCAGCCCTCCCATTTATTTTGCTTGGCACATGCTCACCCAACACACCGCCACATAATCTGACCATACACCATGATGGCCACAGTAACACATTTCTGCAGTGGAGTTGAGCATCTTCGTAACTCGGGATAAAATGATTGTCATCGTGAATACGTTTCCAGAGGTGTACCGTCCCGTCTTGCTGTATTATAACCGCTGTGGAGTCTGATAAGCCTTGAAACTCATAGAGGTAAACGCCACTCATGACTGATCCTCACAACAATTAAACAGCTCACACACAAACATGCCACATCCTTGTGTCAGTCTCTTTATTTTCAGTCCACACACACTTCAGGTTGCGTTCCTTTAAACACACAAGGAGAAACTGAGCTTGAAAAAGGTTTTATGTGATTCCACCCACATACAGACACATGCAATCAGACACACACACTGCATGCTATTTGCAGGCGGTGACGGCAGGATAATTGCTGTTAAACAGAGGGTATTTGATGACGCGTGCTGGCCTTCAGCTATTCACTCCTCGCGCTGTCCAGACCGGGATTCAATCTGTGTGTGTGTGTGTGTCACAGCAAATCAATGGGTCACTTCTATTCTGGAAGCACAAATAGGAATGAAAATGGTCACGGCCTTATTGTGTTTTTATCAGATCAGATGAGATTAGAGTTTGAACAAATCTAAATACTGTAGAGTCGTCGATGAGAGAAAGGTGGTGGCAGAAAGAAAACAACACTGAGTCTTTAAGTGTCCAACCAAAACCCAGGAGATGTTGTTTTCTGCTTTTAAAGCAGAAGTGAAAAAAGAAAAAAACTCAATTAATTTCTCATTCTCATTGTCATGGGAGTTTGAAGAACTCCTGGCAACACAAGAACGGACTTGACTCAGATTAGTTTGGATTGATCAGGAGGAAAATGCCATTAAAATTGTCACTTTAGAATTTGTAATTATGTTTACAGTACCCTGCAAGAGTCTTAGGCTGCCATTAGTTTAGCCGTTTTAGCGAGGTTGTAATGATAATTTATATTTATTTCTGAGTCTCCTTAGTAAATATATGCAGGAGATAAGTCCACAGTAATAAAAATATTTTCAGAAGCAAATGGCTTCTACAGTCCAGCTTGAATTCCTTTGGGGAGACGGTCCTGAAACCCTGACAGAGCCTCCACCATGTGTCACTGAAGGCTGCTACTCTTATTCTTCTCTCTCTCCGACTTCTCACATACTGTCAATGACCGGACCTGAACATTTCAGACTCATCGCTCCATAATCCTCTTTTCCACTGATCCTTGCTCCAGTCTCTGTGAGTTTTTGCATGTCTCAGCCTCTTTCTCCCTGTCCCTTTCTGAAAAAGTGGTTTCCTGGCTGCAGTCCTTCCACGAAGGCTGTCCCTGATCAAGCTTCTTCACACTGTGGCAGGAGCAGCTTAGCCTCCAAATGATAACGCGTGCTGGCAGATGCTGAGCCAGGTCCCTGCTGGGTGTCCTCCACTCTCTCTCGAAGAAACTCTGAGACACTTCTCATCAGATTCTAACAGATTCTTGCTCTTTACTGCTGGTTTTGTCCTCGATCTCTTTGGATTCTTCGTTTCTTTAGAACAGTTTGAACACCACATCACGAGTGTCCAGTTTGTTTGCTGATTTTATACACACATTTTAGTATTTTTTGATAGTGTGTACTTGTTTCATATATTTTCTAGCTGTATTTTGATAAATATATATAAACTATAACATTGCTAAAACAACAAATCTAATGGTGGCCTAAGACCTTTGCACAGTGCTGCATATAACACACACCGTTACATCAGATAACATGATGTGCCTGAGCACATCCGTCTTGACCCCTCTGTCTCTCTTCTCTCTGACAGGACTCCCATCATCGCAGGCGGGCTCTTCGTGATTGACAGGTCCTGGTTCAATCACCTTGGCAAATACGATGCCGCCATGGACATCTGGGGCGGGGAGAACTTTGGTAAGTGGACCCGAGTGGAGGACAGCTTCGGTCGCCGTCACCAGTGGCTTCTCATAAAGAAACAGAGCCAGAGGTCTGAACAGATGGAGAGCTGTAATTGATCCTTTTTTGGCCTCTGTAGCTCTGATACAGTATGTTTCCATCATCATCCTACCAGAGAGAGCTAGTAAAATGAGCTAATTAAAATTTACTTCTGCAGCTGCATTTGTCAGGTCATTTGTGCAAACTAATGACACACACACAGTGCAGTACTGGTGCCACATGCAGGTGTACTGACTCATATTTAGAAAAACAAAGTCAACAGCATCACCACACAGACCATAAAACAAGTCTTTATTGGTTAACACTAGTTTTAGTGACAGGAAACTAGGACTCCTGTTCACCGTCAGTCAGCTGTACTGAAATCATTTAATTAGTGCTTCTCAACAGTCTTACTTGATTTCATGAATGAATGTTGATGTTGCAACTTATCTGTTTAGTGTGGAGAAATTGCCAGCTGTTTGCTAACAACTTTGCGATATTGTAGGTTTATGTAAAGCTTTAATCTTTGTTTTGAATTAACCAGGGGCTTTTGTTGTTTAAACCCAATGACATTTCTGCCCAACCCAACAAGGAAAATCTTTGGCATCCATCCAGCCAGCAACAACACCTGTCCTCCTGCTGCTACCTCTGTGTGCGGGTGCACATGCTCAGTAATAGATGGTTGGCGTCCGTTTACTGATTGCTGTAGTGCTGCTTTTCTCAGATCAATGAAAGGCTGTAGCCTGGTTTTCCTCTGTCTCAGATGTACATTCACACAGCTGGGTTTCCGTAGCTTTAAGGGGCATTACGTTGGCTTGCATTCATTTCCTGGAGACTTACCCCTACCATAATCGCTACTTACCTACCTCTAACCCAAGCCTGGTCGTCAGCCTTAAAAAAGAATGACTAACTTTATGGAGACTTGCTTTTTGTCACCAAAAGGGAGGCAGGTCTTCACAATGCAGCTGTCCCCACAACATGAGTAATACAAGCACTCGTACACACACAAACATTTGCTCCCTGCCATGTTTCTGTCAGTGTCTCCATATCAGCATCTTAGTGTCTCGCTGACTTTCTTTGTTCTCCTTTGTATTTTCTAGTGTTTCACTCTTACTCCTGTTTCTCCTCTTCCTCATCTAATTCAGTCCATGCTCTCATTTCACCTCCCCCCTCTCTCTCTGTCTCTCACTTGCAGTCACTTTAAAAGTTTGCAAGGTTTTCAGCTTCTCGCACTCTGGGAGCACTTCTCTCTTTCTCTCCTTTGAGCTCAGACAGACAGCAGCTCTTAATTAAATGACCCTTACCTCACACAGTCATGTCTTACTATAGTTGTGAGGACACTCACTGATGCCCTAACTAAATGTCTAACCCCAGTTCTACCGCTGACCTCAATCTGACCTTAACCTGAACCGTTAAACCTTCAAGAAGCCTGTTGAAGTTGTGAGGACTGGCTAAAATGTCCTCACAATGATGGCACTGAAAACACAGATTGGTCGACACAGTGTAATAAAGACATACACACTCACACACTCACACACGCACACACAGTGAAATGAAGTTGTCTTCTACAATATGTGTGTTGCTGTGCTCATATCAGAGAACTGAGCACAGTGTAAGCAGGTCACATGAACACGCACATTGCATGTGAACTAATGCACACATAGTAACATCACACACACTAAACTTAATAGATTAGAGTGTGTTGGTGGGTCATCAAATATTCAGGGGGTCTGACCCACTTGGCTGGGATGTGCAGGTTAGAAAACTTGCGCGGAGACACTGAAGAGTAAAGGCAAAGCTAGTGAACAACAAGCCTGGCTACCCACAGAGATTTAGCATTTAGGTTGTGATGGCAACGTAATCACTGGCTGGTTTACAGTCAGTGTTGACATCGTGGTGACTTGTCAAATACAGAAACTAACAACATACTCTTTGTATATTAATAGTAAATTTAATTGGGTCACAGTGTTTCTTTCAAAACATATTTGCTGTTGCAAGTTGGTTGTACTGTATATAAATATTTTAGGAGAGAGTTTGATTCTTAACTTGGTGTCAAGGTTCAGGTTTTACTTACAGTTCCAGTTTTTATCATGTGAGATGTTTGTCATTTTTCTCTGGATGTGCTTCAGGACAAGCACCTGGGTAATGTCAACGCTTCTTACCCTTTCTTACTGTCTTTAACTCAGGAAATATTGGAAATGTAGATGTTTCTGTGGGTGTGTGTGTGTGTGTGTGTGTGTATGCAGAGATCTCGTTCCGGGTGTGGCAGTGTGGCGGCAGTCTGGAGATCCTGCCCTGCAGCAGAGTGGGTCACGTGTTCAGGAAGAAACACCCGTATGTCTTCCCTGAGGGCAACGCCAACACCTACATCAAGTGAGTTCCTATACAAACTTAATCTCTGATGCCTGGTGGACAGAGCTCAGGGCTGTTGGTCTCACATAACAAAGCCAAAAACATCTAATTTAAAAACATGTAATGTCAAATGTCGGGCAGATGTTAAAATAATGTAGTGTGGCCTGGGTGAGATGTGCTTTATAATTCAGGCTAGAGCCACAGCTCAGCTGAGGTTCACTTCAGTCTAATGGACTTAATTCTCCTCAAGCCTTTCTAGCCACCAGGTCATTCAAATTAAGCTTTTTGTCTTCAGTTTTTTTCCCTTTTCTGCACAAAAGCCATAGTACAAATTAGGAAAATAGAACATCAAGCTGTTTTTCATAGATATTCATTCCTGTTTTCAGAGAATTCTTTGAAAAGTTTTCTTCAAGATTTATAAGGCTGCTCAGCGAAGAACCATGTGTCATCTTCGGTACTTGCTCCGTCACTCAGTATGCGTCCCTTCTTTGACTGTCAAGACTGAAACTAGTGTATTGTGGTGGAAACAGTTGTTCATTGGCGGGATGTGTGGGTTTATATTATGGTTGACCCACTGCTAACTGAAGTCACTGCCTAACTGATCATTGATTGACTGTAGTACCAGACTAATTTCTTCTCTGAAACCCTTCAGTGAATCCAGCTTTAATTCTGACCGAGTCAGTGTTTGACTGACAATAAACACTGACGTACAGCTTTTCCACTCTGAGCTGTGTCGGAGCAGCTCAGTGCAGCTCACATTATAGTTAAAGTGGATTTACAGCTGCCTGTGAGCCTTTGAGCTGCGAGTACAATATTATCCCATTAACATAAGCTGTATTCTGTTCTCTGCCCCTTTCAAACTGTTCAAACAGAAATATGTTTACAGGCAGTCCATTAATCCGTTAACAGCACTAATGTGCTCAGACTGCGAGTGAATTGATCTTGTATAAACAGATTAATTAAGGCTACAATAAAGATGCTGCTCCATTCAGATTACATTCTCAGCATTACTGCATGGTGTATCCCTCATAGTAAGAAAAGAAGAATTGAAAGGAACGTGAGGAAGGAGCATGAGTTCTCTAATACTTAAAAAAAAAAAACAAAAAAAAAACTTTTGTCCCTTTTGTTGACACCACAGAAAGGCCAATATCAAATCTAGGCATGAACACAGTAAATGAAAAGGAAGACAGGGAAAGGGAGTTCACCGATAACTAAATTGCAGCCCTGCATCACAGAATAACTCCAGGGATCCACTGAGCGCCACAGCTGATGGTTTAGGTTACGCCTTCAGTAATTCATGAACCTCTGCATGTGAGCGAGGCCTTAATGTTGGCAGTGTCGGGAGTTGAGTTCTGTTTGTGGTGTAAGAGGCAGAGCAGGGCGCTAATGCTGCCGGGCTGGAGGGGTTTCTTCTCAAAGCGAGCACTCCCGCTGCTGAACTTTGGAGCAAAGCCTCCGCCGAATGACTCATCTGAACTTAGCGTTTTGTGCCGACCAGCTAATCCACACCAACAGTGAGACTTTTTTTCAGCAGGGCTGTTTCACTCCCTGTTGGCCGTTACCAAGGCAACATCTGTTCTGCACAGATGATGACTTTTATTCGCATCACGATGGCCTGATGTTTGTGATCATCGCAGATCTCCCAAACAAAGCTGCTGTTGTCTGCTCGCATGTTGCTCTGCTGGTTAATTAGCTGGAGGCAGCCTGCGTTATGAATATGCAAAATAAAAAGAGCTGCCTAATAATTCGATTACAAAGATTATGCTGTTTCTGCCCTGGCCCAGACCTGCTGCTGTGAGCGCGCATGTGTGTGTGTGCGGTGATTGAGGTTTTAATTGTGAGCCTGTGTGTGACACATATTTATGTTTATACGCCTACAAGCATCTCATATCCTCTCTCTTCCCCTTTCATTAAACTGCCACAGGCAGCGTGTGTAACGCCTGTAATGGAGGGTTTCTGTCATTTCAGTGAGATAGTTCACAGCTCGGAGAAACTCAGCTAATAGCTAATTACTACAGAGAGAGAAAGAGAACAAGAGGACAAAAGTAAATGGGGATCAGAGATAGACAAAGTGTGTTTGGCTGTTCGTGCACTGTGGGTGACTAAAGCGCACTGAGCTGAGCAGAACTGAAGTGAACAAGAGAAACGACACCAGGCAGGATTTACACCTGCTGTAAACGTGATCTGTGTGTGGATAAGGAAAAACACGTGTAGCTTTAATGAAACACAGAGCAGTCAGGAGGGTTCCTGGTTTGCACTGTGATCCTAAATACACCCAATATTACTGTCTAATCTGCATCTGGAGATCCTATCAGGAAAACACATGTTAAGGGAGTTTTTCCTCCCCATTGTCACCAAGCGCTTGCTCAAGGGGGATTTGTTGGGTTTCCCTTATAGCAGTGCAAGGCCTAGATCTGATTATGTAAAGCGCCCTGAGACAGTTGTTGTTGTGAATTGGCACTATACAGATAAATTGAATTGAAATGAACTGATCTGAAGGCAGCTGGAACTATACAAGAAGGCTGTGTGATGAGAATGTTGTCAGTCTGGAGGTGGACTGTTGTTTCTGTAAGAGCTGTGTGTTTACATGTGGACGCTGGGAGTCTGCTGATGTCTGGTTTTACTTGCCATCTTTCCTCCTGCAGCCTCTCACTGTGTTGAAAACATCAGCTGGGTGACAATCAGAAACAAACTCCACTCAGCTGAGGGAGGACAGGACAGAGCGCCGTTTCCCATAGAATCACTTCTTTTGCATTTAAACACTAAGTATCATCCCAGGCATCCAGGGCACAAACACTGGGAGTGGTGAAGCTGTCCTGTTTGCAGCCACACCGTGACGGGATCTTGTAATTGCCCTGCGCCCCAAATTCTGCATATTCACACCTGCATGATGAATGTCTCTGATGCCTCACATCCAGTAGTGCTGAATAAAACTCATATTACTTGTTTTGTGTTGGCTTACTGTTTGTCTTCTAGATGTGATAGTTTATGGATGCAAACATTTTCATCAGCGTCCTTAAACACATGACCGAGGAGAGTTTTTAGTGGAGATGAAGAGGGAATTTTTTAGGGTTGTTTGTGCTCGCCATTAACGATGCCAAGCCCCGAGTGTAAAAGAAACTTTGCTTTTAACTTTGTGTGTGTGTGTGTGTGTGTGTGTGTGTGTGTGTGTGTGTGTGTGTGTATATGGTGGCAGGAACACACGACGAACAGCTGAAGTGTGGATGGACGACTTCCGGCTCTTCTACTACTCTGCTCGCCCTGCAGCACGAGGCAAATCCTATGGAGAGTAAGAACACACGCACACACGGTTTACACACACTTGGTAGTCACACTCGTGTGTAGCCCTGTTTCCGACCTCTGAAATGCTGCCCACATTTCTAGTGTTGTGCATGTGGATAGTAACGAGCTTCATTATTATGATTCAAAGAATGAAAGCTATTTGCAAATAGGGATGAAATGTGATATCCTGGACATAAATGAAACTTTTATTATGAACTAATACTTAGTATTTATGTTTAAAGAACCCTTGATTATTTTTTTGCTGATGATGCATTTGAATTGGAATTATTGGTTCCTCAGTTGATCGCCGGTGAATCTGATGTCTTTTACCTTATGTAGCCTGAAATGCCTTTCTACTTTATTAGTGTGTACATTTCTACTTTGTAATGTGCCACCCCTAGGTATTCAGTGGCCCCAGAGCACCACTGCCGCAGCCAGAATAGTGACCAAAACTTTGTCATGGATACAACGTTTTGTGTTCATCTCAGCTGTGGACTTGGATAGAAAACACTAGGGTTACTTATACAGATGTTGCATCTTGCAGAAGCTGACTTATAGAAACATTTCTGAAATGGACGTGGTTCTTTATAAGAACATCAGTGACACTGGCTGTGGTCAGAGGTAAAACAGTCTTGAAATTCACTGCGCTCCAGCTCGGTGTGAATCTGTGCTTAAATGTCAGTGTTTATCTGTCAGACACAGGTAAACACTGGCATTTACACACAGCTGTGAGGGTTTACCTACCTTTTCATATCACACACGCCTATTATTTGTCCTGACTGTACGTTTTTATGGCTACTTCTCCCTCTCTGAGTATTAATAACAAGGTTTCCGAGTCTCTGATTGGCTGCTGATGTGATTGCTTTTTTCTCTGTCTTTGTGTTTGTGTGCGATTATGTGTGTTTGTGTGTCACCAGTATCCAAGGCAGAGTGGAACTCCGCAAGAAGCTCAAGTGCAAATCCTTTAAGTGGTACCTGGACAATGTCTACCCTGAGCTCAAGTAAGGGCGTGTGTGTGTGTGTGTGTGTGTGTGTGTGTGTGTGTGTGTGTGTGTGTGTCCTCAGACTTACATGTATCTGTTTTCTGCTGAGCTTGCAAACTGAGGGCAAATTTCAAGTCAGACTCTAAAACAGGTTTTATTACTGTCCGAATTAATAGTATTAGCTTTTTAGACTTTTGTGTGTGTATGTTTTTAACTTTTAAAGGAGAACCCCACTGATTTTACACAAAAAAGGTGTTTATTCATCATGTTACTCAGTACTGCTCTGTACTTCTCAGTACTACTCAACCTGTGAAAACACTTTGTCTTCGGCTCCATTTGAGAAAATAACCCCTTTTTGATAGAAAGGCAGTGTAATGAACTGGGACCATGGAGTTTGGAAGATGTAACACAGTTTTTGCAGACTAATCATTATCAAGGACTGTAAGTCAGGATGTCTCTGCCTCTGTTGCTTAGATTTTAAATACCCTGTTTATCGCCAGTCTCTTGTGAGTGCCTCAGCTTTATGGAAGTGCAGTACTAAATTGCTGAAGTACCCTCAGTTTTCCCAAGGACACAGCATCCTGTAGCCTAATGGTTATTAAGGGACACATTACATAACCGAAAGGCTCATAGTCTGCTCACAATAAAGGCAAAATGCCCCAGAAAATCTTTATGAAAACTTTTCCAAAGACTCCAAAAGAAAACAAGCTGTGCAGAGAGACGAGGTTAGACATTTAATCAGCGGTAGCTTTATTTGCAGATCTTATGGCACAGTCAGATCAGATTTTCTCCTCAGAACTGACTCGCACTTTGAGGCAAATAGCACACAGGACAGGGAATAGTGTGAACACAGTTGTAAGCAGAAACTGCAGGAGCTAGCGTCGCTAGCGAGCTAACAACAGTGTTTTATCACTGCACTGAAAATGCGGCATACAATTAATTTTATTCTGTAAAAACAAAAAAAAAGTCATGTCCACAATGAGAGCATACACTGACCTTGAACCACACACACAGACACACACTAGATCAAGGTCAAAGATTTTTATTGTCAGTTCACTATATGTGCAGGACATACAGAAAAAATCAAAATACTGTTTCTCTCTCATCTAGTATTGAATGCCCATACATTTAAGAAACTAAAATAAATAAAAATAGAATAAGAAAACTAAATTAAAGTAATTAGGATAAAACTAAAGTGTACAACCTAATGGGCTATGACTCAACCATGTTTGTTTTGTTAACACCTCATCCATTATCATTGTGTGGTGAGTCTGCCCGTCCTGATGAGTTGAGCTTCCAGAAGCCCTGGTTCCTCAGGCTGACTAACCATAACCTTCACCCTAGGCCTAACCTAATCCTAATTCTAACTTGAACCTTAAAACCAAGTTTTAACCCTCAAAAAGCTGTTTCAGAAAGTGAGGACCAGCCAGAATGTCCTCATTCTCCAAAAATGTCCCCAATATGTAGCAAAAAATAATTTATTTGGTCCTCACTATGTAACAAGAATACACACACACAAACACACTTTATAACATAAATCCTGGCACTGACTTATACAGGTACATACTACAGACATAATATTACCTTTAAGACATATTTCTCATTCACACACACTGTACACAGTCACACATACACAGACACACACACATATTAAAATACCCATTTATCCACTGGAGGCTGTGTGTTAATCCCCCTGAATGGAATTAACTGGCTTGCTCTCAGGGGAAGACAGACCCGACCCTTAAAACGCAGAATAACCTTTAACGGGTTATTAAAACAGAGCGAGATAGCAGATTGAATTAATGCTACAGGACTTAAGCCTGAGTTTATAGTGCAGCTGAGAATTGAACAAGAAATACTGAGAAAGTTTATCAGAAAGGATGATTCTGGAAGAAAGTTTCTGAAGTAATGAGTTTAGAGAATCGAGCCCTGCAGCAGATTTGGTGAAGGTGCAGCGTGTGGTTTTTGAGAAGGCTGATAAACCACTGTCAAATTAACTGATATCTTGATGTTGTTAATGAGACCACTGTGGAGATGATTGGGGTCTTGTGCTCGTCTCCAACAGCTTCATCAGCCAGAAATATCGTAAAACTAGTGTCAGATTTCCTCTAAACCATGAAGCTTCCACAGAGTGAATGTGGGTTTGGATCAGTTCCTTCAGTTTGACAAAAACAATATTTTCTCACTTACCTCTAATAGTGTTTGTGTCATTTTAGATGTCGGTCAGTCTAATACCTTAACCCTTTAACCAACTGTATTCTGTGCTGTTTCCTCCATCAGGGTCCCAGATGATTCCGACTCCAAGTCCGGCGTGATCAAGCAGCGGCAGAACTGTCTGGAGTCTCGCCGGGTCGAGGGCCAGGAGCTGCCCGTCCTCACACTAGCTCCCTGCGTAGGAGGAGAGGGGGTCCCCGCCATCAATCAGGTGGGTCAGCCAGGAGTTAGCGATACAGTGAGAGCAAATGGAGCAAACTGCAGCTCTTCCCACTGTGAACTGGTAGGAAACAGATGAATGTGGGATTTGCTGGAGGTTAAACACACCTGAAGTCAGTTCACTGACGTCTTTTACACAGAGTTTGTTAATGAGCACTAGTGTACCAATGTGTTTGGTTTTTGGTAGTACTACTGGGGGGCACCACAGTCTGAATTAATAATTAATCAGATTTACCCTCCAAACATATCTTTGCTCCTTATCTTGCAGCTCATATCTGATTTTGAAAATATGCATTTCTAAAGGGAAATCAAAATGTGAATATTTTGTATTTACAGAAAAAATGTCAGATTGAATCTTTCACAAAGTTCGGATTGAAACATACGGGTTTGCTCTAGTACACACTGATGTTATTGATTATTTGAAAATGCTAATATCTTAAATAAAAACACATAATCAAAGATTAGTTTATATACAGTTATTTAATTTAATTCTTTATGTAAGACGGTAGCAGAGATCATGATCTTTGTCAACAGACCAGTTTCAAATATTTTGCAGCTTATATCATTAATGATTATATGCACATAGAATGGAGGTTTCTGTTTTTCCTCAGTGACAGGTTCCAGTGTGCAGCTAATGAAAATGTCTGGCTTTGGCAGCCGCTGGTTGTTTTGCAAACAAATCCTTCTGTGGGGTTTTTACTTGACAGTGACTGTACTGAGAAGCTGGAGGTGTGACTGTGCAGCGGTGAGCTCCCTGGCAAACACAGTGGTTTAACATGGCTCTCCCTCTCACTGGGCACTAGATGCAAATAAGATTCCAGTAGGAGAAAGTTAATCAAACAAATACTGAAAACTCACTGTGTGTGTGATTGACAAAGAGGGTGTAAGGTTGTGTGTGTGCGTGAGCGTGTAGCTGTGTTTGGCCAGTTCCTTGTCTTTGTGTGTGTGTGTGTGTGTCCGATCTGCTCACAGTGCGCATCATTTATGCTTGTAGCACAGCAACACACCAAAGAGTGTGTCTGTGTGTGTGTGTGTGCATTCTGCCTTCTCTCAGCCATAATTAATACCCATAGGATTCTCATTATTCTGTGTTTAGAGCGAGCGTGAGGCTGTGATCTGCTCTAACAAGCCGCTGCGCAGAGAGCGAACATGTCAGCAGCTGAAATGCCTGCAGGCCTGAGAGGCCAGGATATAACTAGAAGGTCGCTGGTTCAAATCCCTGAATTCACAGTGAAAACTGCAGAGGAGTGTGAATGAGAAGCTCTGAAGTGTGACTCTTAATCCTTGTTTGTTCATGTTCAGACCGAGCGGCTGCCAGGTGGGAAAGTTTTCTTCTTTTCTGTCAGTTTCTCCCTCGAAACCGAAAAAACCATTTCCCCCTGATGTTTCCAAATATCTTCAGCTAATTTAATTTAAATAAAAGGAAAACTGTGTTTTTTACAGAGGAGACGGACTGTGTCTGAAATGGACCCAGATTTTAGTTTAGCTCTTCAACATAATGTTGAAAAAATGAACATTCTTCAGTCCACTCACCAAGATATTTGTAACATGACATGTTTTGAGAAATTCCTCTAAGTGCTGTATAATATACCTAACTTGATAGAGACATCACTGCTGTTGCTACATGTTCTTGCTCAAAACCCATTTGTATTGACAACAAAGTCTAATTGTAGAAAATGTAATTTGAAACATCCATTGTAAACACAGAGATTTGGTCTTCGTTCCTCTAAATCGGTGTGTTGGGATTTCTATCTCGAGCCGCCGTCCTGCAGGAACATTCACACACCCAGAGAAATCAATAGCAGGAGCAGGGAGAGCAATTTGTAAACCCACAGCAGCAGAAAACAGACCAGGGCGCTCGTCCCGGATTCAGGTGTATTCCACTGTTCCACTAATGGGAGGTTTCACATAATAAGGGTGACAACTGTGTATAACAGCAGAAATACTTGGTGAAGGAGTAGGAGAGTGACAGGCATGAAATGTGACCCACTGAGTCACAGAAACATGATTCTGAACACAGATGTAATGAGGACAAATGCATGAAGCTGCGGTTGTTTCCACTGTCAGCACTGACGTGAATACGAGGCAGCTCAGTTTGCTTTTCTCAGGGCTGCAGGTGCCGTCGTTTTGAGCCAACGTGTGCTTTGTTTTTAATCTTTATCCAGCCCAGGAAAAGTTATGCTGAGTATGCTGGCTTTGGTGCAGCCCTGACCTGATTTTTGTTTAACTACACAACCAGTTAGTGTGTTTACCTGCAAACATAGAGGCAGGATGCTTGTAAAAAGATGCACATATACAAAATAAAATACAGAACCAACAGTGCCGTTGCCTGATATTGACAGAATAATAGAAACAGTGGTTTAAGAAGTGCTGACATCTTTCACTTACCGTAAATAAAAATAGCAGTAGCACTGTGTTAGAAGTCCTGCATTTCAAATATTAAGTCAAAGTACAAAAGTATTAGCATCAAAATGAGGTACCTAAGTACGAGTGCTCATTATGCAGCGGGGCACATTGCTTTCAACACTTTAATGTTGCAGATGGTGAAAAATGAGCTAATTTTAATTATTTGTTAATGACTGGTTTGTGAATTTCCCCCTTGGAAACAAACACTTTTATCTCTTCCTGTATTATTATATATATTTATTTGTTGAGTATATTTTGTGTTGGAATCTGCAAAGTAACTAGTAGCTACAGCTGTCAGATAAATGTAGTGCAGTATAAACTACAAAATCCATCTATTATCCTGACGAGGGTGGTGGGGGGCTGGAGAAATCAACGTAATGCAGTGCAGTAAACGTACTTAGCCGTGTTCGACCTCTGTTCAACCAGCTGACACTGGCTGAGAGGCAGGGTCCAAGATCACCAGTCTGTCACAGGGCTGAGATGTAGACAAACCACCACGCAAACCCACACTCACCACTACGGGCAGTTTAGAGTCTCCAGTCAACCTAAGCTGCATGATTTTGGACTGTGAGAGGAAGCCGGAGTACCCAGAGAGAACCCACCGAGGCACAGGGAGAACATGCAGACTCCGCACAGAAAGGAGTTCTTTCTGGGAGGCGACAGCACTAACCACTGAGCCACTGTACCGCCCAGTAAAAATATAAAGTTTCATAAAATGGAAATATTCAAGGAAAGTACAAGTATAGTACTTCAGAAGTGTACTACAGTAAATGTACTTAGTTACTTTTCCCCCACTGGATAGAAGTGTACATTATAAATTCAAAATATTGATATATAACAAGTTAAAATTATTGCATTTAAAGAACCTGTAGAGTTGAACAATAAATGAGTGAAGCTGCTGTCGGAGCTTCACATCAGCACAGGTCTAGAGAGGATACACAGCTGCTCGTGTTCGCAAGACAGGTTTAATGATGAGGTTGCTTCCTCGACTGGCTTAATCCCGAATCCTCAGTGTGCATGTGAATGTAACAGCTGAACCTGGGGAGGCTCCAGCACAGAGAAGATTTACTGAGCTACAGCACCAATTAACCTCCAATGTCATTCTCTTTGCTGCAGTTCAATAAATCAATCATATGGTGAAATCAAACCTGCAGCACCGAGATATTCAAGATGAAGGTCGGTACATCACAGAGCTGCTGTAGAAAGGCCTCCACCCGTCCCTTCACCAGCCAGTGAGCAGCTCACAGCATTATGACTGTGGTGCTAATAATGAAGTGATTGTCCCTCTGACTGTAGCAACTGATTATTTCCTCACAACGAGTCTTTGATCATCATGAGTAGCTGCTTAACCAAAAAGCCAATCAGCAGAAACTTAACAGATGCTTGTTTTGATCATGTCTAATTATTTATTAAGTGAAAATGCCAAATGCTTTGCTGGTGAAGTCCAGTGTGGAAGAAGCATTCAGATCCTTTACTGTATGAAAATGCTACATTACACGTAAAAATCCTGCATTGAAAATATACACAAGTATGTGCGTGTTATTAGCAGTTGTAAATAAAGGTTGTTGAAATAAAATTTAAATCCTTATGATTTAGAAAAATGGCCCCTGAGAGATGAACACATGTTCTTATTGGCTTTCCTGGTGCGTAAACAGCATTTTAGCATAAACTATTTTAGATACTGGGCGATTCCATCTACTGTAAAACAGTGTGTCACATTTTTGAAGTTCATTTTATGTTTTGTGTATAAATTATTAATGTGTAAAATTGCAAGTAACAATCTGTGAAATCAATGTAATGCAGTGCAGTAAATGTACTTAGCCGTGTTCGACGTCTGGCGACAGCTTCTGTGTTTCATATCACTGCATATTTGGCGTCAAATCAAGTAAACAATAAATGAAATCATTAGTCACAACACTAATAATTATTGTTAATGAAATAAGACTAATCAGTGATATCTCACTGTGTAATAATGACATGGCATGAATTTAAATGGTTAATTCAGCAGCTCGTGTTCCCGTTGTTGTATACTCGATTCAAACGTGGCACCGTGTAAAATGTCATAGCTGTGTGTGTGTGTGTGTGTGTGTGTGTGTGTATATGTTGTGATGTGATTCCTCGTGGTGTGTCCTTTCTGCTGTTTGTCCTCTGAGTGTGTGAGAGGGCCTTAAAACACACACACAAGTTGAATTTACTGTGGATCCTGCAGACTACTATATTAGCCCTGACCTTGTTACACGTTCTCCGTTTGTGTGTGCACACTTTGGTGTGTGTTTTTTCTTATTGGCTTTTCCAACACGTCCTTCTGCCATACATAATCATTAATACACCAGGGAGCTGTTGCTTTGAACCTTGACCTCTTTAGCATACCTGCCTATAATGGTGAGTGTGTGTC